TGTTACTTATTACGTAAGTTTAAGGATGCTTTAAAAGAAATTAAATTGAAACAAAAATTTTATGTTTTTACAGGGAGAGGAAATTGGTATGGTTAATGGAAAGGTAACATGGGAGGAAACCGTCGATACCCAGGGTTGTAATGCTAGTCCCGAAACATATGAAAGTTACTCCCGTGATCCAGAAAGAACGCCATATCAATGGGATGCTTCAAACAAGGCAGGGTTTACCAGAGGCGATCATACATGGCTTCCAGTTGCTTCCGATTATATACACAATAATGCTCTAAGTCAACTGCGAGCTCCCCGCAGTCATTTGCTACTTTTTAAAAAATTAATTAAATTACGTCAAGAACCCTCAATGCGAGAAGGTGCACTTAATATACAAGCAATACTTGATGATATTCTTATCTACTCACGGTAAGTAATCAATGATCGAAATGATTCACTACACACTAGATACTTTACAGTGCATATTTATAAACTTATCTTATATGAATACTTAGCTACACAAGCGGTAGTGATATGTACGTCATTGTTTTGAATTTGGGCAACAAGACACAAACATTCAATATTAATAATTATTTTAATATTGGCAATGAAGCTGAAGTTATATGCTCTTCAATGCAATCGAAATATATTGATGGGTAAATATTTAATAATAAATATTGAAAATCAAAACTAACATTTTATGATTTTAGGCAAATCATTGATTCCACCAAATTTGAAGCGGAACCAGAAGTTGGAATAGTTTTAGCAAATAAATAAATGAAGTAAATGCAGTAAAAGACATTTGTAAAATGCGCACTATATGTGCATGTATGCATATTAGGTAAATAAAGCCATTATATAAATATTTTTTTGCAAAAATATTATTACAATAATCCAATCAAATAAAAATTTATTTAAAACAAGTAAGAAAGTATAGTCGGGCGTGCTCAGAAGCCCTTTTGTTGTATGGGGGCTAGGTGAAATAATGGACCGATTTTAACCATTTTCAATAGGCTTCGTTCTTGGGTTTTACTTGACATGCATGCCAAATTTCATCCAATTATCTTGAAAACCTGTACCTTGCACACAAGGTTTACATGGACGGCCAGCCAGACGGACGGACAGATGGACATAGCTTAATCGACTCAGAAAACGATTCTAAGCCGATTGGTATACTTTAAGGAGGGTATAGGACGAATATTTTTGTATGTTACAAACATCAGCACAAACCCAATATACCCTCCCCACTAAAGTGGTGTAGGGTATACTTACTTTTATTTAAATAGTCACTATTTCACATATGGTAACTGCTCTTTTTTATTTACTTTAAATTACATCCGGGATCCAGGGATATTTCGGGATACATAAATTTTATTATTTTATGTATGAACATCTTTAAATCCTCATATTTGTAAAGAAAATTTTAGTATTATTTAAAATTTTATGTAATATTATATATTCAGAACAATGTATATAATTTGACTTTACCGGTATCACAGAGATTTGTAGAAAGTTTGAAAAACCTTCTCGATATCATTTAAAAAAATAAAAAAGTAAAAAGGGTTTTATGCATTTGTGCTGATGTTTGTAACGCATAAAAATATTGTTCCTACACCCATCTTAAAGTATACCGATTGACTCGGTATCCCTTTCTGAGTCGATTAAGACATGTCTGTCCGTCTATCTGTCTGGCTGGCTGTCCATGTGAACCTTGTGCGAAAGATACAGGTCACAATTTTGGACCAAACGTGTTTTTCGTGCTTTTGAAAATTGAAAATGTATTTCACCTTGAAACCATACAACCGGACCACCCGATTTGGGCTTTGTATGTCATAATTACGTCAAATATACTACTATCTCTCAAAAATATGAATACAAATGACACTGCAGATGTTTGTAATGATCGGCCTTTATTTGACCCTAACCCCATATAAACATTTGAAAATCGGTTGAAAACTACTAAACTAATAATTTTTCAAAGTTAAAACTTCAAAAATGGTTCTTTTCCATGTATTTTACTTTTAAAAAGTAACCAGCAAAAACTTTTGTTATGAGTTAAAAAGCTTCTCATTCATCCTCATTAGCATTTTAACTCATTATTTTAACAAGGCATTGGAGACAAGTACTTTCCACGCTCAAATTACAAATCACTATTTAAATAAGTACTTACAAATAGGGAATTAAAAAGTTGTTTTGTTTTAAAAACAAAAAAATCGCTCAAACAGAATACGAACCTGGGCGAAGCTCTTGTTCGTTAGTTCGCTGTCTTAGTTAGTTATTTTATTGTGCTCCAAATAATGGTTTTAACAAACAATTTTCATTATAATTGTGTAAAAAACTGTTGCTGGGGCGCGAACCAATAAAATGTGCAAATAAAACGGCAAAACCCAAAATATGCATGTAATAGTCATTAAAAGTAAGTTATATAAGTATAATTCAGCGAGTTTTTGATGGGTAGATTATGGTTCCATAGAGATTGCTGTCTAATCAACATATTTATGAGTGTTTAAACCCACGATCGGCAACTCCTATACACTGTGTATTTTGACCGTTACAAAATTTACACAGACTACTCACACGCATAGAAAACACAATTCAGTCTCATATGAGCTGTCATTGAACGAGGTTGTGTTGTCGCTCGTTTATTGCTTTTGCAATGAAAATGAACGAAAATATATTAATGCAGGGATGGATAATTCTAATTATTGTTGTACTTTTTTAGCATCTACACTACATATTATGTAGTTTTTAGAATTATAAACTTTTTTAAATGTTTTTCCTTACAACTTAAGTAGCAAATTACAATAATTTACCAATATATACATGTAATTATGTTAAATCTTTACCCTTAATAGGTATAGATTTTATTAAAAACTTAGTTAAAAAGCTCATATTTCTATTTCAATATTTAAAATAAATATGCGCAAATAAACCCAAAAACATTATGAGCTACTCTTAAACTAAAAAAATATTAGTTTTGTTTTAGATTAATATTATTTCTAAATTTCAGTTTTCCAAGCATGCCTTGTTGTGAAGATGAGAGTACAACTATTTCTCATTTCTTGTTTTTTTTCGCTCTTGCACTTATACAAGTGCAAAATGTGGTAGTATATGTCTGCCGATCGCTAGTTTAAACCGCTATCCTGATGGTTATTTGTATGGGTGCTAGATCAATATCTATTACATCCCATTAGAAATATCACGAGAAAATGTTCAGATGGTTTTTTAAAAATTCGAAAAAATAAATGTAAATACGTCACAAAAAAAATATTTATATATGTTGTGTAAAAGTATCCAACTTATCGACTTAAAGAGGGAACAAAGAGGGAAGATATATGTATTCATGAATGCATCCAAAAAGTGCATATGCATTAAAAATGCATCAGTTAAAAATTTCTAAACAAAAATTATATTGCAACATTAAAGCAATTGATTGGTCTATGAATCGTAGAAATCAGATATACCCAGGAAAAACTTACATTGAAATGTAATGAGTTAAAAATGTAAAAAGTTAAAAAGCTAATAAAAACTCTTTTCACTACTTCTTCATTAGGATTTTAAGTCATTATTTTAACACAGTGATGTCAATGGAGGCAAATAGGCAATTGTTTAGTAAGTTGTTTTGTTTTTTAATAATGAAAAGAGCCAGCGAGAATACGAACCAGGGACTTCGGTTTGTTAATCAAAATATTCTAGTTATTGCACCACTGCTTAGCTATTTTATTGCGCGTCAAATAATGGTTTTCATATACAAATTTAACTTTGTTTTCTTTTTTGTAAAACATAATTCTTAACACGTAATTAACACAAAATGACAAAGCCGAAAATAAAGTACTTCTATATCAGATTAAAAGAAAGTCATTACAAGAGTACTTCTAAGTAATACAGACGGTAAGTAGTAGTCATTGACAAGTAAGTGGTTATGGAAGTACAACCCATTACCGAGTTTTTGCCGAGTTTTTTGTTACATACTTTTCTTTAAAAAATATTTAATAGAATTTTCGCAGTATTGACTTCATAAAATTAATTTTCCATTTTTAGTCCTCAAAATGTTTGAGTTTTTAGCTTACAACTTTTTTTATTTGTAATGACGAAGATATGGATATACTTATGTACATGTTTAGACGCTTAAAACGTAAAACTATTTTTCATGAAAATACAACTGAAATACATACATATTAGTCTTATTTCATAATGTCATAGATTACATTATTTGCCTGATTTTTCATTGAAATATACATTTCGAATTTTTTCATCGTTGAGTAAAATCTTGAATGTAAAATTTAGCAAACATTTTACGGCATATGAAACCTTTACCAGCAATATAATCAAATTTAACAACAAACTGAAATATTACCATTCTTAGCCCATAAGCCCACAGTATCTGTGTATGAATGCTTTTGTTTCAAAACACATACATACATATAATTTTTACTATCATAGAGTTTTCAAATACATACCTACATATGTATGTATAGATACACGTCAACATTGAAATTGAATGTGTTGTTGCCCAGGTTTTCAATCTAACTGCAGTATTACAACCCAGCTAGCATTTTCTTTCAAAAAAGGATCTTCCGCGATTGGAGGTGGCGACTAAATTAATCTTCCACGATATCGTATTCCAATTACGAAAGTTCAACGCAACGGGAGTAACTGTGTCACAGCCGCGACTCTTCTCTATGAATCGTCTACGATGTGTTAAAAAGAGTCTTGACACAATCGTCTTAATGAATCTTCTACGATGCGATAAACAGAATCTTTACACAATCGTCTTAATGAATCTTCTACGATGCGATAAACAGAATCTTTACAAAATCGTCTTAATGAATCTTCTACGATGCGATAAAAAGAATTATAGAAGAGTCTTGGAACGATCGTAAAGAAGATTTTAATTGATCCTAAAATGCCTAAAAATATGCTAAAAATAAAAAGTATTGATATTCGTTTTATACTGTTTATTGCATTGGCATTTTTTGTCAACTTTAAATAAAAAAAATAAAATTAAATATAAATTTGAATTCAATTATGAAAATAAATACATACATATGAATAATGGAAATAATTATGCAATAGAAAAATTATTAAAAAATAAAGTTATTTTTATAAATTTGAATTCAATTATGAAAATAAATACATACATATGAATAATGGAAATAATTATGCAATAGAAAAATTATTAAAAAATAAAGTTATTTTTCAGCCAAATCGTCAATTTTCTTGGCTTCATCAATCTTTTTGGTTCGGTCACTCTTTCTGAGACGGTCACCAGCATGAACAAAATGTTGTTGTAATACCTTATTTATACCTGCATCATCAGCTTTCGGAAATTTTGAATGGCAGACACCTTTAAAAAGAAAATAATTAGAATTCAGTAAAATCATGTTATAAAAAATACTTACTTGTTATAATTTTCGTTATATTGAATTCCTGAATACTGGGCTTACTGTTCGTTCCACGCCAACTCAATTTTGCAGCCACATCATCGCTCAGCATTTTTTTAATTGCATTCCTGACAAACGAGTTGGAGCTGTCGCCACCCACTTTACCAATAACGTATTTCTGTAAAAATTTTGATATGAATATATGTATATATGTATGTTTATATTAAAAAATATGTATATAGACGGATAATTATATACATACCAATTGAGCTACAATATCCACGTTCTCTTCTATTTGTTTATGTAATTCTTCCAACTGTTTTACAGTTTTTATGGGTAAAGGTGGCACTAAATTGGTTTTAATTTCCTCAGAATAAATTAATTTTAACTGACGCACTTCATTTCTTACGGTTACCACTTCCTCTGTTAGTCTGCCGATTTGCTGTTTTAGCGTGCGCACTTCTCCTAAAATCTCCGTCAACATATTTTGTTTACTATCTGAAAGAATTAATGTAATATAAAGTATAATGAATGAAATTATGACATTTATAATGTTCTTATACCTGTCTGATTATCTGGCGGTTTGTTTTGTATTTGTTGCAATTCACTTCTTCTATATATTCAACTGGAAAATTATCGCAAACGGATGATGTTTCAGTGAAATCCGATTCAACCAATTTTTCGAAAGAACTGACTTTCATTGGGACATCATCGCAATCAGATGTTTCCCTGCCTTTAACTTGTTTTTTGGATGATCCATCCCACTTCATTATAAGCAGACTCCATCATTTTTTTTGCTTCTCGTTTGCTTTTTAATCTTATTGCTTTATTTGATAGCATTATAAATTATTTTATATTATAAATTTAATTTTTGATTTCTAATAAAACACTTTTTAGTTAATACACTTAGTATTTATAAGAAACTTTATTAAAAATTAAATTTTTAATTTAATAAACTTCAAAAACCACTTTTTATTCTTACTTGTCTCGACACTGATTATAAACTGAGTTGAAAAGAAGACAAAATAATTTGTTTTTGCTAAACGTTTATACGTATAACGGTAAAATTCGCCCAACTATCTCCAGAATCCGTAATCGGCGATTGTTGCGTAATATAAATAAACCGGTTTGACAATAATATATGCATCATTTGGAAGAGTAAAATATGATCGTTGACTAACAACAATCCTCCGATGATCGCTAAAATACATAAGCGACGATTAATTCGTTCAACAATCGCCAAAATTACTCGCAAAAGCATCTTTTGGTACATTAAAATATATATTTTTTTAAATAATCGTCAGGACGATTATAAAACGAGTCACAAAATGAAACAATCGTCTGGAAGATTGAAAAAAGATTCACAAAATGAGGACAATCGTGTGGACGATTAAAAAAATAGTCGCAAAATCATCGCGCTCGCCAATGAATCATGTAAATGCTAGCTGGGTATGAATTTGAACTAACGTTGTTTAGAATTCATATACGCGTTGTTGTCAGTTTATATTTTTATTCCTTTTTATCAATTTTTTTATTTTATTCTATTGTTGCATCCGTTGCAACTGTGATGATGCAAACACTCTGTAAATTAAAGCTTCTATAAAAAACACATACGCCAGCCACCATAACATACATACCTATATACATATTAGAATGGCCCCAGAAAAGTTGTTGAGGATCCCTAATCAGAAAGGATTATTCTTTTACTTGCAAACTTCTCCGAATAGCCGTGCTAACTTCAGAAATCACAAATATGTAAAATATCGGAACATGAACAGTTAAATATTAACTATGACAACTAAACATAGACCTATGACACGAACATTAATCGTTTACATGCGCGATTAATTGTTCCATAAAGAATTATTTTATACAGTAACATGCTAAATTGCATTAAATATTGTGATTTTAATTTCAACATATAGGATTCTTGTTCTTTTGAACCATGATCTATAAACATTACGTAAGATCATTGCTTAACCAAGGTACTTATAAGTACTTACAAAACTATAATTATATATGTGAAAAATAAACAAAAAAAAAACTTTGTTGTCCTCCGATCGAAGTAATCCTGATGAAAGTTTTAAAAAATGGTTATATAGAAGAAGTTGTTTGGGTTCTTTCACATGAGACGTTTTGATATAAACATACACGTTAATACTCGTATGTCCATTAATGTTGACCTCATTTTTAGATATGGTTGTTGTTTTTAGTTGTCCTTTTGTTTTAACATGTGAGTTTGTACGCTTGCTGCTGTGTTAGTAAATCTAGAATGGTTTTAGTTTAGCCCTTAACATGATATTTCAACATATACACACTCACATGAATGCATCCAAATAATTTTACGAGTAACTGAAACAAAGTGCAAGAGTATTTATATCCGCAGGGATTTCAAAAGTCAGGCAGCAGTGAAATTGCATAAAAGTTGCACAAAAAAGTGAATAATAGTATCATTGTATTATTTTATTTAAATGATTATAATACATCAAAGAACTCAGAAATCATCTATTGTGGTGTTTGGAAAGCAAAAAAAAGTATGAGTTTTTAGGGCGTTGAGTTTCAATGGGGCTTCGCTTTTTTGATACAACAAATAAAAAACAAAAAATGTGTGCTTGTGGATAAGAATAACAAACCTGATTAAAAATACCAGGGTATTCCTACACTTCTTTATAATATACATATGTATGTACCACTGAATAGATGTGATACAAAGAATATTAATAAAACTGGTTTAAATAAAAATAATTTATATAACTGCCAATTTGTTCACTATAAATAAAATTTAATTAATTTCAGCTCACAAAAACATTTCTCTATTGAAATTTGCTAAATTAATTGACGATTATTTTCAAATTGTTAGTCCTTCAAACTTTGAAGTCCTTTTAATAAGATGAACAAGTAAGAGTGCTATATTCGGCTGCGCCGAATCTTATATACCCACCATCAAATCAAATGTCTTAAATAAGTCAATTTCGGAAAGTGGACCTATACTATATAAATCGATATTTTTTCTACCACATTTATTGTATTTTTTCCAAACTGAGCCCAAATTATGGCTTACGATATCGATCAAAATCTCAATAGAATCTAAATGGATATTTCGATCGATATCGTATGCCATAATTTGGGCCCTGATTTGTCATATATAAATAGTAATACATATAGTCAGGGTGATGGTAGTACCTTTATTATATTTAATAATTTTTTTAATGATTTGATGTCCTGTAAATTTACTTATGGTTAATTTTGGACCGATCCTCCTAAGATTTTGGTTTCAATGAAACTTGTTATGTCAATGCTTTCTAAGCTTTTTATGAAGGATTTGATCCTATTTGACCCGATGCTCATAATATTTGACAGAAAGATTTTAGATCCTACAAAACTAGTTCATGGTGAATTTTATCGTCTCTTATGGGTGTTAATGTCATTCTATGAGAAAGGCCATTTAAATGGGATAAGGTAAATTATGTACCGATTCTCAAAAAAACAATTAGAATTATGTTCCTATAAAACTTGTTTATGTCGAACTTCATTGCTTTACTATAATTTTGAAGAAGTTGTTTTTTTAAGCCTCTTAATATCTGGCAGAGATATTTTAGTTTCTAAACAACATGTTTATGTCAATTTCGTTGATATGCTGGAATTTTGAAGCAAATTATGAACTTTTAAGTAATTTTCTGAGAAGAACCTCATGTGGGGGCTAGTGTCAATTATGAGCCGATCTCCATAAATTTTGACACATAGATTTTAGTACCCCGAAAACTTGTTTACTTCGAATTTCGTAGCTTTACTATTATTTTGCATCAAGTTATGAGCGTTATAGTAATTTTATGAGGGGACCTTATATCGGAAGTAGGGTCAATTATGAACCTATACTCATACATTTTGTCAGGGAGATTTAAAGTAATTTTCTGAGTGGAACCTTATATGGAGAGTAGGGTCAATTATGGGCCGATCTCTATAAAATATGGGAGAATTTCGTTGTTTAACTACCATTTTGAAGCAAGTTATAAGCGTTAAAGTAATTTTTTGAAGGGGAGCTTATATAGGAGGTAAGGTCAGTTATGGACCAATCATCATAAAATTTGGTAGAGAGATTTATTCCTCTAAAACTTGTTTATGCTGACTTTCGTTGATTTACTGCAATTTTGAAGCAAGTTATGAGCTATAAAGTAATTTTCTGAGGGAAACCTTCTATGGGGGTAGGGTCAATTATTGGCCGATCTTCATAATATTTTTCAGAGAGATTTTAGTTCCCCTAACACTTGTTTATGTCGAATTTCGTTGCATTGCTATCATTTTGAAGCAAGTTATGAGCGTTATAGTCGTTTTCTTAGAGGGAAATTTTATGGGGGTAGGGTTAATTATGGACCAATCCACATAAAATTTTGTCTTGAGATTTTGGCTCATATTAAACTTACTAATGTCGAATTTCATCGCTATACTCGTACTTTTGAAACAGATATGACCGTTAAAGCTGTTTTTCGGGGGCCCTCTTGTATGGGGGCTATCCGAAAACGTGGACCGATATTGCCCATTTTCAATACCAAATAAACCTTATCTATAGAGAATATATGAGAAAATTTCAACCCTCTAGCTTATTCCGTTAGGACTCTATCGTGCTTTCAACAGACAGACTGACGGATAGAATTTCATAACGACCTAGAATATATATACTTTTGTGGGTCTTTGACCAATATTTGGATGTGTTACAAACGAAATGACAAAAACAATATACCCCCCATCTTTTTTGATGGTGGGTATAAAAACTGGGCCGTAACACAAAATCTGTTTATGATTTGTTCAAGACCACATGAGAGGCAGTTTGAAAAACATAAGAAACAGTTCATGAATTACTGAGTTTTGCTATATGTTTTAAAGTAGCTACAGTACGAATAATTCTGTGCGTTACAAACATCAGCACAAATCCAATATACCCTCACCACTATAGTGGCATAGGCTAGTACGAATTTAATCACCTAAGGAAACCATCAGACATTGAATGTCTACAACACTAAAGTTCGAGTACCCAGAAATCATTTTGCTAAGTTTGTATTTCCGGTTTCAGGTTTGAAAATATTATAGATGTGACGATAGTTGTTCCTGCAGCCCGTATTTTTGTTCCTTTTCACGTGGTTGTTTAGATGTGGATTTCTAGATGCTGTTAAAAATTATTAGTTAATTTAAATTTATTTTATGATTATTTGCAACTTCCCTAATAATAATCGTACTTGAGACATTTCCTAATTAACATTCCTGCCACGATAGACGTTTAAAATCACATAAATGAACAAACAGGAAAATTAAGTTTTAACAATATTTTTACAGTCAATAAATAATACGTTTTCAATAGAAACTAACTTTTATGATAAATCGTTATGACTTTATTTAAATTTTCAACATAATTTTCATACAATTTTTTATTCACTTTACGCTGCTACAATACATACGTTAAGTTAATATATACAAGTGTGTGCAAACAAATTGTTGGTTCCATGATTGCCGCGATTGTATTGTTACAAACTACAAAAATAACTTGAAGAGTACATTTGCAGTCCCAGCAAACATATATGTATAAATACCCAGCAAACGCTCGGTAATGACTCGTATTTATATAACCACTTACTTTTTGAGGACTACTACATACTGTCTTGTTTTTAACTTTTTAACTCTTTGCATTTCAATGTAAGTTTTTGCTGGGTACGTATGAAAAATTTGTCCGTTGTAACACTCTATTAATTTTATTGAGATGTGTCAAAGAAACAAACAAGATTCATTTGATTAAACTTTTACTATTGGTATAAAACTATATAGTTTTATACTAATCGCCCAATAAATGCAAAAAATATAAATCATGCGACTCTTATTATTTTACTTCTCATGCGGATGGAATTTCATTTACATTTCTATTACGTATTGTAATTTTAATATACAGAGATATAGACGGACGTCTTAAACCCAGAAAATTCGTATGCGATCAATACTTCAGAAACAAAATTGACAACATTTACCGTTGTGTTTGCTGGGCATATACATAAGTATTCCATGGATAATAAATTGTAAACAATATTTGTGTGAGTTGTAGTTATTTATGTGGAAATTGTCGCAAAACTCTTGTCAGAATACATATAGAAACAACATCAAGAAGAACAAAATTTAAGTCAGTAACATATTGTTCAACATTAACAAATTTACGATGTATGTAATTCCTTGTAAAATCATTCAACACTTCAATATTATAACTTTATTTATTTGTGTTGATTCGACATAAAATTGAGATTTATAAGAAGAGATCACAAATATTATAAGGACGTTCAATATTGGAATGATAGGTACATAAATTATCTAAATTATAAAAATGTGTAAGTGAAAAAATGGCCATCAAATAATAAGAACAACGAAAAATTGTTATAAGTCAGGTACATTAATTCTAAATTTGAGTGAACTGTAGCTAATTATCGCCCGAATCGAAAAAAACGAAACTCGATGAAGTGAAAATTATAATTTTGTTTGTTATTGGCAGAAAAATATTGTAATATTCCAGTTCATACATATACATTAGAGTGTCCCGAGGAACAGTATTTTTAATAGTATAGGAATACCTTGAAATCAATGCCTATTAATGTGCTCAATACCAGAAAAATATT